TTTTGTTCGCAAAACACACACACAGAAAAAAAAAACAACAGCCTATGTATAAGGAAGCTACCTGACATCTGTCTCCAATTTGAACTTTCTCTGCTAAAAAGGATGTTCTTTAAGAGGAAAGCCTGAAAAGAAACACATTTAGTTAACTGTAGCAAAATGTTGTGTTTGATGATGATCAAGTATTTGGTAGCTTTATGCTTTGTCAATGGATTAACTAGGGCTGGGCGATAATTCAATAACGATATATATCGATCGATAGACGTGTGGCGCAATAGAAAAAAAGAGGGTCGATAAAAGTTCGATAAAAAAGAAACGCAGTTTTCCTTCCTTCTCATTGTAGCCTAGCATGTAGGTTTATGCTAGTCACTGCTTCCTCCCAACCAATCACAATCGCGGACCCAGGCATGCCGTCACCAAGCGCCGCCCTCTCAAACCACAACACAGAGCACATGAAGATGTCGCAGCAAGGAGAGGCGGAGGAAATTGTTCCAAAGAAAGGTTTTTGTAGTTCGCCAGTTTGGCAGTATTTCGGTCATGGCAAGTCGGACAAAAAACAAACCACAGTCATCTGTAAAATGTGTAGGGAACCAGTGAAAACGAAGTCTGATAACGCAAACAACTTTTTTTTTTTTTATCATCTCAGCCGCTCACACCCGCAGGAGTACGAGCTGTGTAGGCCTCAGCGCGGCTCTCCTCCGAGGAATCTTCGGGAATTTCGGGAAAATATATATATATTTTCAGTTCTGGGCAGTTTCCCACGTAGTTCTAACAATTGAGAGAAAAATGCTTAGGGGCCAGAAACTTCAAAGTAATAACTCAGGTTAAAGCAGGAAACGGGGGCGGCGGTGGGGGGGATTTATTTATTTGTTATATTCATTTTGGTCACTTTTCTGGTCACTTTAGTTTATTCTTTGTCAGTATTTAATAACATAACCCAGGTCTCTTAAGTTATTTTTCTTTAAAACAATTCTGTTATGGTTAAAAAAGTTGGTTAAATAAAGATTTCATTCGAAGTCTGTGTTTGTGTTTTTTATTAAAATTAAATCATTTAGCAATATTATAAAAAGTCCAGGCAGAGCTGCACATAAAATATGGTTTCAAATCTTTTCAATAATTATCGATATCGATAGGGATGGGAATCGAAAACCGGTTCCTATTCAGAACCGGTTCCGTATTTTCCGATTCCATGGCATCATTTGGCAGCTCGCTGAACGATTCTTTTTTCGATTCCAGTAAGAACCAGAGCCTAGAGCGCCGGCTCTGGGGAGCACGACTTACGTCACGTTTTTTACGTAAGTTATGTAAGTTACGTAAGTTACGCAAGTTGGAAGAACTATTCGAGGAGGAAGACAACGAGCTGCGGTCACTTTGTGAATCAAAGCCCCGTCTTTCCTTAGCCCAGAGGGTAGATCAGGAAATCCAGCTCTATAAAAGCTTGCCCTCCATCCCCTGCAGGGATAGCGCCACACTGTGGTGGTGGAACAAGCAAGATGTGCTGCCCTTGCTATCTGACTGGCTGAAAACTACCTCTGTGTGCAGGCTTCCTCCACCCCATCTGAGAGGGTGTTCTCCACGGCTGGAGACACCATAAGCGCTGAAAGATCCCGTATCCTTCCAGAAAAAGCAGATATGCTTATCTTTCTGCAAAATAACTGTTAATTTTCCCTACTACTGTTTTATAATTAGTATTTTTTGTTATTTAAAATAGGTTATTATCCCATCATTTTTTATTAGACATTGTTGGTTATTAAGTTTGTTCTTGTATTCATTTTTCATTTAAACACGGATGTTACTCCAGTTTCACATTTCCTGTGGACATATTGATCTTGTTGATTTTGTAAGATTGTGCAATAGTTAAGTAAACAAAGTTGATGCTGATAATCAAACAGTTTGTTCTCCTTTTTTCCCCAAATTGGAATCGAAAAAAGAATCGATAAAGAATCGAATCGTTTCATAGAATCGAAAAGGGAATCGGAATCATGAAAATCTTTTCAATTCCCAACCCTAGATATCGATCAATATGCATTTTTTTTTAATCGATAAGCTTTTTTTCTATATCGCCCAGCCCTAGGATTAACTGACGTTTAGGTGGTGGGAACCTCACCTGGACAGGTGCAATCACAGCACATGGTCCTCCTTCAAACTGCTTCAGAGCGGTTTGTTCATGCTCACTGAAAACAAACCCTGTGAGAGAGGAAGACTTGATTAACATGTACTCAGATTAAGGCACAAAGATTATGCAAAACTATTTCTTTTAAAAAAGAACATAAAGAGACAGATTTAAAAAGTACAAAATAGTCTGCTAAACACTGGGTTATCAAAACACAAAAAAAGTAGAACACAAAGTACAACACAAAGTGGTTGCTAAACATTTAACCCTGTTTAACTGACAATGATAAACACAACAAAAGTCCTACCTTGAGACCACCTTCGGAAAATGGAAGCGGAAACCCCTCCTCCTGATGGTTTTCCCCAAACCAAATCTACCACCTCCTTATTTAACTCCGACATGATTGATTTAAGATCCTCAGCCACACCTTCCTCAGTCGAACCTTCATGCAGGGACAAGAGAGGTTGTCTGCTCCTAATGCCGTCTCTTGCTAACTGCAACTGTCCACTTCTTAGAGTAGCTTGTTCCTGTGGCATTGGCCACGAGCTCCCACAGTGCTCCCAATCCGTCTGAGTTTAGGGACTGGCAGCAGAGTCAGTGTGTAGTATGAGATCAATCTACCAAGCAACAGGACAGACATTAATCAGGATTTCTGTTTAAGTCATTAGAAAAAGAGGATAAACAACTATCTTTACTTTGTAAAAAAAAAAAAAAAAAAAAAAAAGAATTCAGCCAGATTGCAGTTACAGATATTTAAATATTATAAATTTTCACAAAACAAAAATAGTCACATACTTTCAAATACACAAATAGATCAAATATCCTAAGCAAACTCCCTTGGCCAGTTACATAAATGATCACTGCATTTTAAAGGTGCACCGATTGACTGGCCTTGATTTTGAGAGATCAGTGATCGGCAGATACTTAGATGGGAATCTGATATTTTCTGCCAATCTTATATACCTCTGCAAAGGTCTGAAAATCACCCACTGTCAATACTCGAAACTTCGATTTATATTTGAGAGCAGTTAATTCAGAAGATTTTATTGTTTCACAGGTACTGATTAATGTCTGATAAAGGCCTAAAGATGAAAATACAGGCCAATTAGTGTCTATTAACCTGCATTTATCAAAATATAAAAATGTATCAAAATGGAAAGAATGTATTTCAACCACTGCAAAAGGAATAACAGTAAAAAAAAATTGCAATCACAATCTATCACAATGTCGACAATTTTCTTTTTAATCAAAGTTAAATTAAGTGTTTGCAATTTTGGTACAAAAAGACATTTAGCAATTTCCATTGGAAACTCCTCCATAATATCAGTTTTTGCAGTACTGTATATTTCAAATTGTATAACCTGCACACATTAAGCCTGGCATCACTTTAAATAGGCTTTATTACGCTTTCAGATTGTATTATATTTCCACTGCTGTACAACCGCTTTTCTAACATAGCTAATAATCTCAACTCAGTAAAACGGGGTTTCTGCTTCTGACATCACAGGTAATAATTCGGAAATAATTCTGATTTTAATTTGCTAAAATTTTAATCATTTTCGGGGAATTTGGTTATTGTGCTACAACATTTATTATTTATTTAGTTTTATACACATAAATCTTAAATTATTGTATTTGTATCATTTCAAAATGATAAATAAGATATGGAATCAAATTAAAAATTACAATCCATAATGTTAATGCAAGGACGGTACATAAAATGTTTGAACAATATACCAAACCTGGCGCGAACTGGGTTGTTTGAACACTTGAACATTCATTCTGCTGCCAAGCTAAAAGGCTAGGTGTAGCTAACGACGTCAGGTGGTTACAATATTGACGGAGGGAATAAATAAAACTGAGCAAACGGCTAAGGGTTTCTTACAGCGTGGTAATAGAAAGAAAATGATATTTCGGTTAAAAATGGGCTTGGCATCATAAAGCGTTAGCATTACCATTGCAGCTAACATTACCTTGCCCTATCATTTTATTTCTTGTCACTCCGGAGGCGCTGACACAACGCCTATTACCGGTTATTTATTCAACGTGGTTGTTTTACACTTACCGACAAACCGATTCGGGTATCAGAGGGTCAGTTTTTTCTTGAAAATTTCCCCATCAGTTTAATTTCTGTCATTCGTTTATTTACAGCAAATAGTAAATTGAAGAAAAAAAAACACTTCTGCGTGCATAAGGCGTATTGCACCATTGGTTGAAATCGAGAAAGTTCCAGGAGCGTCACAAGGCGTAGCCTTGATGCGTTTCCAGATTGGTCAACTCACTTGTCAATCAAGTCAAGCCTCAGCAGAAATTCTATTATTTTTGAAAAACACAGATTTAAACAGATTTTGGTTTCTTTTCTGAAGCAAGAGCCATGGAACTAGATCTGTTATATTTTAACTGTTTGGTTTCCGAAACTATTGTGTCCAGTAGAATTGGTATTTTGCTCCTTATCGCTTTCCGTAGTTTTGACAATCCTTCACAGTCTGACGGGGAATAAGTTGGTTGAAAAGAAAACTCGGGGAGGAGACATTTTTCCACTCATCTCGGTTGCACACGACTAACCAAAGCAATTTAGGCTGGTGGATGCACAACCAAGTATTCATAATATTCATTAGATTCCCTGACAATTTTAGACAATATTCAATTACATATCATAAAATTATCAAAGTAGCTCGAGATAGGCACCGGCACCTCTCGCGACCCCGGTTGGGATAAAGCGTGACAGAAAATAGATGGTTGGAAAATGATCAAAGTAGGGTCCGAAGCTTATACCAGAGATGAAAAAGACATCCAGTGCATGCAATGGCAGCTGCACCATTTGACGAGTGTACACATCACGCCCACAAGGAGAACCGATAGCTTCATCGGATGAAAAATGAGGCGCACCCAGTTTCAGTCCCTACCGCATGCGTGTTGCATGCCGCTTGCATTAAACAACGCATGAAGTAAATGTGGGAAAAGCGTTTCTTTTAAAAGTCAAAGCTAGCTGTTAAGACACGCAATAAATTGTATGAAACATTATGGGCGGACAGGCTAAGAGCAAGAAGAAAAACAAACCCAAGAAGAAAGACAGCCGTCAAAACAGGGGTCAGATTATGTGTTTTTGTTAGTCTTTTTCCTGTAGGATTTCTAAACATAAGTGGCATGGATTCTGAATAGCAAGTTCTTATCCAGGTTTAAGTGCTTTGGTTTATATTTGAGATTTCATTTTTATGTTTCATCCCGACAGATGGAGGATTTGTTGATTTGTCGCCTCAGGAAAGGATGAGGGTGAGAATGCATGAGAAAGCCAAGAAGAAGACAGCTGAAAAGTACTCAGTACAGCAACTCCTAGAGAAGGTGATTTTGAAAACAAATCACTGTAGACAGTCGCTGGAAATCTTCACTTAATTTAATTTCTCTTTTGTGTGCAGACCCAGGAATACATGGATAGTTTTGACTTCGAGATGGCCAGCCTTTTCTGTCAGAGAGCCCTGGATGTGGACTCAAACAACCTGCAAGCTCTTGACCTGCTGGGCAACATCTGCTCCGAATTAGGAGACATGGAGAAAGCTAAATCAATATCCTTTTTGATTTTATTTTTCATACATATTTACAGCTTAGTCATCAAAGCATTACAAAACATGATTCTGACCTGAAGTGGGAATGAGTTGGGCTTCCTTTACCAAGGTTTAAGTCTTTCTCCGCGCAATTGATCTGAGCCCAGATGTTGGCCACAGTAAATATATGTATCTGGGACAAATTCACACTGGCCTGGAGGCTGTAGACTACTACACAAGTGGAATACAGGTCCTTCTCTCTGCACTTGGGAAGCAGGATGCTATGGTGAGGGAGAACTCTGTCCATACCCTTTAAACCTATTCCTACATTTTGTCAAAGTACAATAGCAAAACACATGGTATTTTATACATATTTTGCATGGCAGACTAATTCAAACTAGTATTTAATTATAAAGTATTAGAAATTAGAAAGTATATGATGCATACTTTTTGAAATATTTTAATAAAAACAGGTTTGTGGCATAGATTTGTATTAAGGCCTTCTGGGTTAACAGACTTGGCCTTTGCTTTAGCAGCTGCAGCTCTTTTGGTGGTATGTCTGTACTATCTTTGCACTTCTAGAGACTATTTTTAATTTTAGTTCATCTTTACACAACATCTCAAACTGAGACAGGAAATATGTAAATATCTATATTCATGTCTTGATAGTTTTACAATAACATTTAGGTCTTCATCTGGCCGGGCCATTCTAACAAAGATACATGATTTGAAACCTTGAACACCTCCTGAAACAACAAAAGGAAGACTGTTTCACATTGCTAAGGTTGAATGATGGAAAACCCTGTCCAGGCACTGGGTGGAGAGCCTAGGTTATGATGAATATTTCCTGCACCCCCTGCTTGGAACTATAAACAGGACTTCAATGAGTTTGGTGTAAACGGCCAAACAACTTTATCCCTTATCTACCTGTTTTAGACAACATGATGGTGTTTGTCTACCAATGAAATCAAACAAACATCTTTTGTATTGACCAATTTTTTTTTATTTTTTTAGCTGGATTTTAGTTTGTCAGAGGAGCTACACTGCTCTGAACCGGAGACAGTTGATGATGACAGTAGGGGAATTTAGTGGTGTTAATGTGATAGAACTGGAAAAAAAGCAATGGATGGAATAGGTCCTGAAATGAAACATATCATGTGTTTGTTTACTTCTGTAGTTTTTACATAAACAATGTTAAAAGTGACATTCTAGTCAATATCTTAGATGCCATCCATCCATCCATCCATCCATCCATCCATCCATCCATCCATCCATCCATCCATCCATCCATCCATCCATCCATCCATCCATCCATCCATCCATCCATCCATCCATCCATCCATCCATCAGTTTTCTTCTGCTTTATCTGGCCCCGGGTCGAGGAGGCAGCAGTCTAAGCAGAGATACCCACACCTCCCGATCCACACACACCTCCTCCAGCTGCCCTGGAGGGACCCCAAGGGGATACCAGGCCAGCCCACAGACATAGTCCCTCCAGCGTGTCCTGGGCCTTCCATGGGGCCTCCTCCCAATAGGACATGCCTGGAACACCTCCCGGGGGAGGCGACCTTATAGATGCCTAAGTTTCATGTGGTCATCAACATCAGGAAATGCAAGCGTTGCATTTTCTTTTTAGCTTAAAACTTTACTTGTCACAAATTAACGAAAATTTTATTTTTTTTTTCATCACGGACTGGAAACCTAAATAACAGCTTGGCAATTATAAGTCTTATTTATTTATTTTTGTCTTCTAATGGGATGGAAAGGAATAGGGATAACGGCTTTTCTACACTCTTAGAGGTGGATTTATCACAAGCCTACAGCTAAGACAGTTTTTTTTTTTTATCTGCTAAGATTAAGGAAAAAAATGCCACAGAAAGGAAATGAGTTAATCAAATTATTTACAGGCACAGGTGAAAATGCCAACAAACATGGAGTCTAAGCTCCACAAAAGCTTACAAAAATCAGATGGGAATTATTGAATCTACAGTTCCAGTTGGAGTCAGAATTAAATGTGAAACTGTCAAAGAGCGTCTGGCTTTCAGTGTGTAGAACTCAGCCGTCCTCCACAAGCTCCAGAGACTGGAGGCAATGTGGTTGGAAAAATTAGATGCATTATATTATAACACCTCAATTGCATAAGTTATTCTGTACACAGTACAGGAAAAAAAAACAAAAAACGGTAATTATGTTGGATACATTGTGGAAGATAAACAACCATCGCGTCATAAAAAGGACGCGCTACCGCAGGTCATTCATCCCTGGTGACATCAGACTCTACGATGCGACACTATTACAATAACTTGTGCACCTTTTCTTCTTTTGGGCACCTTCTTTTTGACTATTTGAGTCAACATAAAGAGTAAATCTTTCAACTTTGAGATCAAAAAAGTTAATCAATCATGCTTATATTATTTTGCAATGTATTAGAATATTTACTTTGCAAGCAAGATTAGTTGTCGTGAGATTTCTGAATTCGCACACTCAAGAAAAAACATGTTCTGACCTCAAATGGAACTACACGTATCAATCTGGTATATGCCAGGGGACAAACATATAAACCTATTGGAGTCGAGTTGTTCAGGCTCTTGAAGATGCAGTAGGTTACGAATCCCTGAGTGCCCACATTCTATCCGCTGGGTTGGTTAGAGAGTGAGGAGACACACAGTGAGGATATCCATCTCCTCAAAACACAGATATCAGGTGCTGAAAAGACCATTACAAGGAAATGACTGAAAAGTGACTCTAGGTCTGACACGGTTGATGACTATAGTGCAGGAAATATCTCCTGTGGAGAAAATGACCCGCCATCTAAGTTCAAGCTTCAGAGAAAACACTGGAGAAGATAGTTTGGCAACATAGGAAGGAAAAAAACCTAACTTCTGATAGGCTGAAACACTAGACTGGGACATGTAAGGAAGTGAGAAGAAATCTCTGCGCGTTTTATTTGTGTGACATTAAAGAAAGCCTATGTACTGCACTGAAGGACAACAGGGAATTCTAGACTTTTGTTAATTATCCTATCATATCTCTCCTATCCTGGCTTCTCTTCATTGGCTTCCTGTTAAATCCAGAATAGAATTTAAAATCCTCCTTCTCAAATATAAAGCCTTAAATGGCAAAGCTCCATCTTATATCAGAGATATGATTGTTCTTTATGTTACTTATCAGAGCATTTCACTCTTAATATACAGGTTTGCTAGTGGTTCCTAGAATTTCTAAAAGTAGAATGAGAGGCAGATCTTTTAGTTATCAGGCTGTGTAACCAGCTACCAGTTGTAGCCGTGAGGCAGATACACTGTCTTCTTTTAAGGGTAGGCTTAAAACTTTCCTTTTTGATAAAGCTTATAGTTAGAGAGGCTGAGCTATCTCTATAGTTATGATGCTATAAGGTTAGACTTCTGGAGGACATTGGGAACCCTTTTATCATTCTGCTTCATGTAATCTCTATTCTCCCACTCTGCAGAATCTGTTAGTTCAATCTCTAAAGTTATGCTCTCTGCTTTTTCTCATAGTAGCTTAGCCTCGTCTGCTCCTGTTCGGCTGTTACACCACCTTGGAGAGAAATATCAGCTGTGCTGCCATCAACACCTTTGTTTATAGATGTTGTCCTGTTTATCAGTGTAGTCCTGTTTCTATGACTGTGACTAGCTCGATGTGCTCTCGTTATCCTCTGACATGGGAGCTGGCTCGTAGCTCGTCTGCCTGGCTGGTTGTTTCCTGGACGGTCCGCCTTTTACAGTTGCCTTTTGTATCTCTGCTTCTTTTTCTATGCCCGCTTCTGTCTCCTTGAACCCATCTGCAGATGGCAGGTTCCTTCTTGTTAAAAAGGGGTTTTTTCCTCTCCACTGTCCCTAAAAGCATGCTTAGGGTGAGGGATTGCGTTCCAGTCAATGAGTCGATGCAATCAACTGGTTTTCCTTAGATAGAAAACTTTGAGTCAGTTTGACTGTATGATGTTGTGAATTGGCGCTATATAAATAAACTGAATTGAATTATTCATTTATAAATCTGATTTCCCAGCTTGACTCTTCCATGTTTTTAGTGTAAATAGGCCTTTCAGCCGAAGTTCCTCTGGGTGAATGGACATGTTTTCCCTGATGTTATGTAATTATTAATGGGGAGAAAAAAACTTGCCTGTTCATCATTCACACAGTTTAAATGTTTGATATGATAATCAGTAACTCAAATCTCTCTTATGCTGTTCTTCTGCAGGCTCAGGACGGAGCCACCGGAACAACGGAGGAGAAGGACGAGGTCCCTTCAACAAAGGATGTCAGCGTGGCCTACTGCTCCCTGGCCGAGATCTACCTAACAGACCTCTGGTACTGCAGCAGATAAAGTAATACTACTGAAAACCCATCTCACATTCCTGTCACTTCTAATGGGTCCAAATGTGTCTCTTCATGACCGTAGCATGGAGGAGGGAGCTGCAGACAAGTGCAGAGAGTTCATTGAAAAAGCTTTACAGTATCACCATGACAACCCAGAGGCTCACCAGCTTATGGCCAGTTACCTGTTCAGCACAGAGAGAAACCAGGTCAGTCTTTGCACACACACAGAGACTCGAAATGAGTTATCGCCACATTAAAGAAGGGATCTGCCGAGTTAATTATTCTGAGCAGATTGAATTGTGTGCCATTAATCAGCAGATGAACACTTACATTAACACACAATCACAGATGGGTTATGCCAACAGGAATGTTAATTACTGGGCAGATCATTGAGGTCATGTAGTCATCTGATAAATTGAAAGAGATGAAAAAGCACATTGGAATCAGCTTGTGGGAAAATTACCACATCAACTGTCCAATTTTAGCACATTGGAACACAGATGAATTTCGCTTTAGAAACACATCAAAAGATGTGTTTCACAAACTAAACAAATCCCAAATCAAATGTATTAACGATATAGTATATAATCAATTAGCTTTGTAACATATGTCTTTTAATTAATATAAATATTTTTTTTATATAAAACTATATGTATTTATACTGCAAAACAAATGCTTTCAGATAATTGAAAGGAACACCTTACAGCTGCTTTAATAAGAATGAAGAAGAAAATGTTTTTCTCCAAAAAATTTCAAAATAAAATAAACAGTGTTTTAATTGTAGGAAACAATTTTTCAAGTGTTTCAGGCTGATGCCTATTTCTGATTTACTATTCTGCCAAATGTGATTCAGATTGTCTTTTTAAGCACAATAATGCTAAAGAGTAGAAATATTACCATAGATAACATTTTTTTAAAATTTCAAATTAAAAAAGATTTAAACGATTTGTCAAAGAATGTTTTTCTTAGTGCTTGCTTACTTTTTCTCCCCTTTGAAAATGGGCATAATGGTGCCTGCTGCTGGTTGATATCATTATGGACCGTAAGTGGTGAGAGTTCTTCGTTTTTAAAGATTTGGCAAGTGGAAAAAAACAAAAAAACAACACATTTTTACAACTTGTTTGCTCTGCTAATTTCTAAAAGGATATTCCCCTGATTCTGATCTTTATCTGATAGATCGGTGTACCTCTAATTTTTAGTGCCCTTGTACAATTACTTTTTACAAATTGTCTTAGTGTGATATTTTCTATTGTTTAAATTAATTAAACTTTCATACATATTTTCATTACCGGTAAATTAAACTAAAACAGATTATAGTTGATTCAACTTATATATTTTATTATATACAGTAGTGCGGAATATTCCCTGACCATTTTACAGCCTATGGTCCAATATAATGTGGATGGTAAAAAAAAATGTATGATTTAAAAATCCTTTAACAGTGGATGTAATTTATATATATATATATATATATATATATATATATATATATATATATATATATATATATATATAAAACAATTTTAATAAAGCATGGTTCTGTCAGAGCTGCTGGCGAGACTCGTTTCAGTGTTGGTAATTATATCATTAGATCACAAACCCAGGAGGAGGTTGATAAGTTATCACTGTGGGTTATCATGGGTTAAAATTGACAAAAACGCCTAAAGGGGAACATTTACATCATATCCTACATCTGTGTCACAGTGGGATTTTATGAGTTGATGGAGTTTTAACGAAGCATGAAAGTAACATTTAATTATAGTTCATGTTGTTTATTTTTTTGACATTGTTGGAAACAGGAAACATCCTACAGCCTTATTTGGATCATTGTTCAAAGCTTAAAAAATGACTTTGATCCAACAGCAATTAGAAAAAAATTGGATATAAAATTGCAATACATCCACCGTGAATTTATTTACAGGTAGTCAGACTTTCACTCACATATTTAAAGGAATAGTACACCCAAAACATGATTAGCCTTCATTTTCTACTCACCCCCATGCTGAACAAAACTCTGGAGTACTTTTTTGATATCTCAAATGCATCTGGAGATCTGGGAGGCTTCTTGCTGTCTGCTGACATTCAAATAATGGAGGTCTGTGGCGCCCGAGACAGAAAGGTCCATAAAAGTCCACAAAAAACGTGTCAATATTCCTCCATACTGCTCGTCCAATGTATTCCAAGTGTCCTGAGTGGGTAGTATCCAGAATTTACTCGAAACGAAGTCATTTAGAACGTTTTAGAGCATAAACATTAGTGTATAGGATTTCCTAATAGCGCCCCCATGCGCGCTCACGATTCTACGGAAGCCGGCAGACCAAACCGGAAGAAAGTGCGCATTCAGCGTCTGCTCTGCCGATAATGCAAGCGTAGAAGAAGAAATGTGCTGTTTACCTGTGCAAAGAAAGAAATAACGAAAGAAAAATGTCTGAGGACTTCAGTGTTGAGGAAGAGCATGAGTTCTTTGCCGAGCTGAATGCGCTGGTTTGGTCTGCCGGCTTCCGTAGAATCGTGAGCGCGCATGGGGGCGCTATTAGGAAATCCTATACACTACTGTTTATGCTCTAAAACATTCTAAATGACTTCGTTTCGAGTAAATTATGGACGCTACCCACTCAGGACACTTGGAATACATTGGACGAGCAGTATGGAGGAATATTGACACGTTTTTGTGGACTTTTGTGGACCTTTCTGTCTCGGGCGCCATAGACCTCCATTATTTGAATGTCAGCAGACAGCAAGAAGCCTCCCAGATCTCCAGATGCATTTGAGATATCAAAAAAGTACTCCAGAGTTTTGTTCAGCATCGGGGTGAGTAGAAAATGAAGGCTAATCATGTTTTGGGTGTACTATTCCTTTAAACTGAAGTGGAGCTGCAATCCTAGATACAAGCTGTAGGGGTCAGGCTTGCCCCAGCTTTTTTCCCACACTTTCCTCATCTCCTCTGACCAACTTCTTTTGCTACTTAACAGCATTTATTATAATGAAGAATAATAAGATTTTATTATAATAATTCTTCATTAACATAAATACACTAGACAGTATATAATACAGGAATACATGCTCACAACGTTGCTAACTTGTTAGTTGTCTCAGGAGGCATCTTGGAAAGATTTTGGATGATTTAATCTTTGAACACACCTTTCTTTTTCTGCCTTCTTTTTAGGAAGGGAAGGAATACCTGTTAAAAAGTGTTGGAATGTGGCTACCTGCTTACAAACAAAGTGTAGCGTCCAGTGCTACAGAGGAAGAAGGGGTGAGTTTGTTTTCAGGGTGTGATAGAATAAAGAGATGCGCTGATCAGAATTTTGTGGCCAAGTTCTGATATGTGCTTTTGTACAGCATTGACTTGCTAAAAACAGATCTGAGCTTAATATGTTTTGTCAGTAAATAACAGAAAGAAGATAAATGATTAACCTCCATGTCTTCCTGCTGTGAGTAGTCAATGATATTTATAAAAATTTAATTCTTAGATCTTCATTGTCCTCTGAATTTTGAAGTTTCTTTTAATAACAGCCTCCACAATTAAGAGTGTTGCCATCAGCAGCGATGAAAGGGAATAAAAATATTGTATCTAGGGCTGCAACTAAAGATTATTTTGCAAATCTTTTAATCTTTTGATTTTTTTTTTATTAATTGATTAATAATCGGATACCCAAAGGTTCCTTAAAGAAGATTTTTTGATATTTTTTTTTACAATTCTATATAAATACTGCTCTAAGTGGGTTGCTCTGTTAGCTAAAGGCAAATTATGCAGTCTCTGAACTCCTGTTAACCATTAATCAATTACTAAATCAGTTGATTTCAATAATCGATTAATCACAATTAATCCAATTAATTGTTTCAGCCCTAATTGCATCACGGTTAACAACGATTAATTTGTTGAACGATGCTATAAGCCTCATTGCTTTTAAACAACAAAAGTCTTGTTAAAGCCTTAACACTTATTAATGAATTTAAGAATACAAGGAAATGTACCCTTAATGCAAATTATTTTACTTTACATTAGAATAAGACTTAATTAAGAATTAATTATTTAAAAAAAGGAATAGAATTTAGAAAAGGAAGTTGTCCCTTTACCAAAGATTCAAGGTATAATTATATTTTAACATAATCTGATAAAAGTACATTTATTTTACGAAAGCAAATCTATGCTATTGCTCCATTGTATAAGCATTTCTCACCAATTTATGTCTGTGCACTGTATGAATTGATGGAGGTTTTGATGATTTATTGGGTAAAGATGTTTCTACTGAACTCCCTACTGGCCTGTCAAGCCGGGCAATTTCTGGTTTTTGCTACATCTTTACTGAGCATCATTTCAAAAAGGCCTTTTTAACTAGTCCGATTGCCACACTGCACTTCGGAGCAGACGTTAAGGACATCAGTAGAGATAAAAAGGTATGAGATAATGAATTAGCTATGCTGAAAGGTAAAATGATGAAATAGGTGCTTCACAAATGTGTGCCATTAAGTTGGAGTGCTTAGAAAAACAGCAGATATGAAAGAAAGCACCAGTAGCGATTCTAATGGGCAAAAATAATGGCTGCGGTACCAGTTTTTAATATCTCCAAATAAATTATAGTCAAGTTCATTTAAAGAAAAGAATATGTGATATAGGAAGAGTCTTTGTAATGATTTGGTAGAACAAACCCCCTGTGAGTCCACAGTTATGACTCTTATCTTCACCCGCAGGTTGATCCAAACTCAGCCTGCTGACACTTTGACTGAGATTAACAGCCATGTAGCTGTGGAGCATTTTGCAGCCTGAAATTGGATCGTGTTATTATCAGACAAAAGGAAGGAAGAACTCTGTTTGATGTCGCTCGTGTAAACACTCCTCCAAAGGTGGTCCCCCTTTATTATTTTCTCCTCTTTTTTTCCCCCCTTTCTCCAGAATGAGATCCCTCCGTACGAGTCTCGCATCACCACAGCCAAACTGCTTATCGAGTCAGAGGAGTATGAGGTAATGTGTTTGCATTGTGATGTGCTTGCACGCTCTGTTATGGCCAGTCTGTGCGTGGTTCACGGCAGGAGGGCGACTGGCATTTCTTTGTGTGTGCTCGTGTGCCTTTCTTTTCCACTGAATAGCACTGGAGGTGGGAAGGCCATGCCTGGACTTTATGCCCTTCAGAGTTTAGTGTCAATAATTGAAGAGTGGTATTTACAGAGAGCGAGAGACCGAGGGGGGTGCAGGAGGGAGGAGAGGGAGGACAAGAAATGGAGGGAATAAAATCACAATGAACCCCTGTTTTGATGAATTGCTGCCATATCTTTGAAACAGCACACTCATCTGCTAAATCACTCATCAATTTCCAGTTTAAATGGTCTCAATTTCAGTGGCTCGCTGCCTTCAGTTTGCTACTGAACCTCCTAACAATCATTAACGCTTGAAGTCATTTTCTGTGATGACTGCCACACCGACGCCAGTGTAGCAATTTTCTGTTGTGATCCAATGATTAATTTCTAGTCAATCTTGTTGGGTGGTTTATGGTTATTACTGACAGGAAATGAGCACAGTGTCTCTTTTTTATGATTTTCTCTTTTCTTTACTCTCCCATCCAAATGGTTTGGCTGCTGTTATGTCTTTGCATGTGTGTGGGAGTTGGAGTAGGATATGTGCTGTCAGGTGCATCAGTGAAATGACAGCGTTTCAGTCCATAGTTTCTGACATGTCATTTGTCTTCATCCTCCTGTTGGTGTCATCAAGCCTGATGCCAGAGCTGTGGTTATGCTCACAGCTTCATAATCTCTCATTATTTTCCATATATACCAACACTGATACATACAAGCATGGACAAACTTGATGGTACCCTTTGTTTTATAAAAGACAATCCCACAATGGACACAGAAATAACCTGAATTGGAGAAAAAAAGTAGTAATATGAAAATAATTGTATAAAAATGAAATAATGAAAATCAGACGTGCTTTTCAAATATGATTTAACCAAATGATTTAAAGAAAATAAACTCATAAAACAGACCTGGACAAAAGTGACAGTACCTCTAAAAGACTGAAAATGATGTCTCCAAAGGGACATGTTAAATCAAGCTGTGTCTACAATCTTGTAATCAGTCAGTGGGCCTATGTATAGGGCTAAAGGTAGTTGCTGTCCTGTTTGGTGACGTGGTGTGCACCGCACTCAACATGAACCAGACAAAGTAAAGGAAAGAGTTGTCTCTGGAGATTAGAAGGAAAATTAAAGACAATCATGTCAAAGGTAAAGGCTACGAGACCATCTTCAACCAGCTCGATATTCCTGTGACTACAGCTGAATATATTATTCAGAAATAGGATCTATCTGGGGGGATTTTTTGAATCATAATGTTAAATCTTCGTTGAAAAGTAATATCTGATATATCTGATTTGCTTGTTTTCATTGAATTTTAATTCATAACTTTTCTCAGATTCAAGTCTTAAGGGCTGTGTATGCCTTAGCAGCAGTGTGTCATAGTTATCTTGTCGCAGGTATGAAGCAGATATTTTTGATTTATGCCCAAATTTGAAGCGTGCTCTGCGCTAGGTTATTCCACACCCAAATGCAAGAGGGACAATCACAAACTAGCTTTGGGTGTCTGTGTGTTGGTTTGACGAGCTTGTTCGACATCTACAACACTCTCATCAAACCCCAGACAACACACAGTTTACTCGTGAGTGTTCCCAAAAGACTGGCCGTGGCGCTGCGAGTTTTGGCTTCGGGTGCAAACCAACAGACCGTTGCACAGAGCTACAAACTAGCATCCTGCACGGTGTCTGGAATGATATCCAAGGTGTGCCAGCCATTGTGGACGGCACTACAGCCAGAGTTTCTGCCATTAGGTACCAAACAGGAAATACACATTGTGTAGAGGGATGTAGAATTGACCAATCAGAGGCCTCCTTTCTATCCTCCCTGTAATGCTATTTGTAGTCACCTACAATTTTTGGGGAGGAGCATTAGAGTGTCTGCGGAAGGGGGGCATATCTGCGTTAACTATGACACATGCAGACGGCCTGGTATCTGTGCATATATCAGGCTTTAGATTTGATTGGGATCAACGAGGAGGAAACCTCCTCACTTTTCATTGATTGCTATACGTTTTGATGCGTGACATACAGGCAAGCTTTTATTAAAGTGTTGATACAAAATCCAGGAAGCCAGGAGTTTTCTGCAAGCATGGAAACATGTTTGTATTTCCAGTTGGATCCATTACTCTGTTATTCTGTCCGTCTGTTATACCATCCATATGTCCATCCATCATTCAATCAATCCATCTGTCAGTCAGTGCATATAGATCTGCTGGTCCATTCATCCGTCCAGCTGTCTGTTTTTCTAGTCATCAATCTCTTGCTTCACTTATTGGTTCACTCTTTAATCTGTACACTATCCCAAGCATCCATCCATCCAGCCATCCATCCATATTATAGCACAGATATTTGTTTAGGTTGCATATTTAGATTTTAAATATATCATTTTTAAAGGACAGTTGTCGGGCACTTGTATGTTTAAGGAACAAAACTCATTTTGCATGTTTATCTCTAAATCTGCAGACTGGGAAATAAATCAGATTATAGTAAAAAAGAAACAATATTGCTGAAGCAAGTAAACAAACAAATAAATTTACTTGTAGCAGTTTTCATACTTTACCATACCCAAATGTCCAGAGTGCTAAATGATTATGAACAGTTTTTTTTGGGCTTAGGAATTTCCCTTTATAATCAATAGTTTAGATGTTGTTTTATATTTAGATATGTTTAAAAATAGTTAAAAATTCGGATTTACTGTCGGATGTTTTTGGATACGTTTTTATACATTCCAATCCTTTTTTCAAAGCAAGAAAAAAATTGTAACTGCTTGTGCCAAATGATCAGTGTGTTAGATTTCCTTTCTTGTTAGTAAGAAGTGGTTAAAATGTCTTTATTGTACTGTAGTGACAGATTCAATCACCTAAAATGATTTTTCCCAAGACCGTCTCTTGGTGTCAGAGAGCACTTCATCAGCTGTGAACTCGTCAGGCGTTGATGGTTTAAACAAGAAGCTGACACACCTGGACCTTTGACTCAGTGAAAAATCAACTCTGCTCCTATTACCTTTTAAAATTGTACAATGTCTAGTTAAGAGGGGGAAAAATTAACAAACCAAACACAAATTAACCAAACAGAAAAAAGGTTCTGCTTCATATGCAGCCATTTCTCAGTAATTGGAATAAAAAGCACAAAAAATCTGAAACTTATTGGCTTTATTATAGAGTGGAATATTTAAAGCATAGTTTATTTTGATGATTAAGGCTTGCAGTCATAAAAAGCAATGGGTAAGAATATTATATTAGACCAGCAAAACATATTTTTCATTCAGGAGTTTCAGACCTAATGAAAAAGTTCATGTATTGTTCAATATATGCAGCCGGTATGTCGTTGTGGCTCCTTCTGCTTAAAATATGTCAACAATGCAGTGAGGGTTTGAGCCCTCTGCAACCACGCAGCACCAAGCTACAGGTGCTGCCTCAGCCAAATATCTGAAGAGGTGGGAATGTTTTACAATATCTATTATGTAAAATAGTGTAGACTAAGCTTTTCACTGAAAATTGTTACTTTTATACAAGTCAGTTAAGTTTGTCTCTCAAGGAACCCGTTTTTATTTTACTCTCATTAGGTGAATCAGCCTCTTCATGTTTTATTGTGATATTCTAATAAATCTCACATACAGATGAATTCATAATAGTAAGTCTGATAGAGGTTAGCAGATATGGTACTTACTAGTCCAATAACAGGTCTCACCTAAAAAGTTTTTACTCCTGTGAGCCCTGTTCAGTTCATTTTAATTCAGTACAAAAATACTTCTTAATAACCAAAGGGAATTAAATTCATCTGATCTGCTCCATATTTTTTATTCCTTTCCTCTCTCCAAAAAGGTATACTTTGCAAATTCTTTGCTGGCTTCACTGTGTAATAAACACATGAGTAATAAAATAAAAAAAACAATTGCTCTATAATCACCTGTGGGTAGTAAGGGCAGGCGATTGGACGAATCAATTGACCATCTACGATAGACTCAGCCCTTCAGGTTGAGGCGCTGCCCACGACAAAAGACTCATTTCCCCATTGTCACCGTGCAGCAGCGATTTATCTACTTAAAGTTGAGACGGAAAGGAAGAACTGGTCCAAACCAAACTTTTTTTTTTTAACAGCCGAACTAGAACCAGAGAGACATTTTTTCTTATTGTGTTTTCAGGCAGCTCTGCCTGTTACAGATTTGATTAAAAAATAAATAAAATTCAAAATTATATAGTCAGAACAACTGGAAAAGAGGAAACGATTGTCACTGGATGAAACATATATATATGACCGGAAAACAATTTACCTTGTGTTTTAGCAGGGCATGCAGAGGGTAAACAATATTACCAGCGGTGCAGAAGACATGCTTTTAGGCTGTGCTTGTCTTTACCAGCAAAGTCTCCTGCACAAATTTATCGAGAATTTCCATTTGTTGGACTGACGAATATCAGTTGGAAAATCTTTCCGGATTGCCCAACCTTAGAGAGTAGGGCATGGTGAGGCATGTGAAGCCACTGGCTTTATATTGGGTTTCTGTAAAGCTGTCCATGTTAGCAAGAGCAGCACCACAGCACTGCCACCCTTAGATTACCACCTCAGGAACTTAGCAGAGAATATATTAAGGTGAAAATGTAACTTAATCATGCCTTCAATTTGTTTGGCTAGTTTTAACAGTGGGTGCAGGTGCTGCTGGAAAATGAAACCAGTATCACTTTAAACTAGACGGAATAGACTCAGCTGACGTTAGACTAGATTGCACTTAGTTGACCAACATAAGCAGATGAATCCTGCAATCATCACTGACTAGAAACTTGACAGTGGACCCTTAAACAGCTTGGATTCTGTACATCTGGGACTGGGCAACCCCAATAATCCAATTATATGTGAAATCTAGTATTTTGGGTCACTTAGCAACAGTTGGAACTGTTCTC